TTGTCTAGTTTTGCAATACAAGATGATTCCTATATTAGTTAATTAAATAATTAATTTGAAACATTCACGAACCGACTGCAAAAGTTTTAGGCCAATTTAAAAGAAATTCGGCGTAAATAGATCATGAACCAACTTGGCCTTAGTCCAGATGTCCACATTTTAGGACCGAGTCACACATAGCGGTTGAAACACGCACAGTGAACCCAAACGTCCCAAAGCGTATATTTCGTAGGTATCCTAAGCGTTATTGTCGCGTTCAAAACGTAAAATTGCGATAAGTAGTAGCAGGTTTTCTACATCATATTTTTGGTCCTGGTTGGGACTCATCACCCCGAAAAATTATGTCTAATATAATATTATATTGAAGTCATTATTTGCTTGAACGCTGGGCCCCAGTACCATGAGTCTTTCTGACCCCCTCCCCCCTTGTGGTGGACCTGGGCAGTGGTTACGTGGTAACGCGGTAAGGTGTTTCAAAATCGCGCTAGTCTGACGCTCACYATTTGGCATTTGTATTACGTATGCGTTTTCACTGAGCGTCAAATCCGTTRTATTGTTTCATGACCCTAACACACAGTTTTGTATGGGATTCAAAATCAATTATTTTATTCGTTTTTTATGAATAAAAAAAATTAATTGGTGTACTATATAGATTTAAAAAACCACCAACTTCATATTTTATTAAAGTTCAGTCAAAAAATCATTTTAATACAAATACAAATACATAGAAAAAATATTCATAAATATATTTTTTTGAAAAAATGATTATGTTTTACGCTAATTTTAAAGTGCACATATTTTACATCGCATAATTGGCAAATAATACTCAATTATTTAGATAAAATAAACGTTTGGTATATGCTTAAGGGTTTACGACTATTCGTTTTTGTATTATATGACAAAATAAGAAAATCGTATGATGAAAATTTTTCCAATATCGAAAAATGTAAACTTCAAACGCTCATAAAAAGTTAGTTTGACTTTCTAGTAGCATTTTTTTTTTTAAATTTAAGACAGAAAAACCTTATAGGAGATTGAAAAATCATAATACATATTATATTAAATTTTCAACTCGGAGATGAATATAGAAACATTTGTATGCATATTTATAATTTATATCTCAAAATAATTTGCAAATTTTTGTGATTTTGACGAATCTTATTTAAATTTTTACTTTAGGTGCTCATAAAAATTATTGTGGATTTACACTCAACTTTTTTTTAATTTCCATTTACAACAACTTATGAGGAACTTTATATTCAATTTTCAAGTATTTTGACCGATTTAAAAAATGTCTATAGAAAATARTTTTAAAAAACTAATAAAAATCGAAATGTTCTTTATGGCTATTAATAGCTCAAAGAGTTGGAATATTTTGGAAATTTGATGGTGTATAGAAAAATAATATTTATTTAAGCATCAACTAGGTGAAAATTTAAAGTATATTACAAACGGTTAGGTTAGTATTTTAATTACAAAAAATAAAACCGCTTTGAAAATTCTTAGGAATTTTCCATTTTTACCGCTCTAAATTGTAAAGTACCAACTAGATTAACTTTTTAGGAGTAAGTGCTGGCTTTTATTTTACAGATCATAGTCTTCCAGAGTATTTCTAAGCTACTTCTGAACCACTGTGTGTCAACCGACCAGTTTGAGTGCAAACCACACAGTGTAACTGTGTAAATCGATGGGTTGGAAAAATGCCTAAAACCCTTAAATTTTATAAAAAATTTTATTTAATGTGCTTATAAGAAAATATGCTAAATAACATGATGGAGCCTTCCATTTTAATTTTAAGCACTATGCGGTGACCCTACATTTTCGATTTAAATTTTAKGGCGTAAATTTGAGTTTTATTATTTTATGAAGTTATTATAATTCACTTTTAGTTTTTACTAACATTATACTTAARTTGATCAAGTTATACGCTCAATTTAGRCGATAATTATGGAGGCGAAGCACGTATTTTTACGATCGTAACAAGTTGATTTCATTGTATCATTCACATAACCTTGTCTAATATTAAAATGATATTATTAACAGCTAAGATATTGTAATATCTGATCTATTTAGGATACCATATTTCCATATTATCACGTGGTACCTATAGATAAAATTTACATAATTACTTGAATAATATGAAGCGATGATAATGTACAATGTACACAATAATTTATTGTTGTTTACATTTTTCATTATAAATTGCATTATATTTATTTACCATCATAAAAAATACATAATATTTTATATTTACTTGCAATTATGCACAAAATACTTAAGCCATGTTAAATATTTATTCATTATTTAAAGTCGTCAGAAATTAATTTGCAATACTTAATTACTGTWTAATTAAAATGTATAATGTTGATAAACATTTTTAAAGTCTTAAATTTTAAATATTTTCATATAACTYGGTTACAAAGTAGACATTTGATGACATAATAATGTTATGAACTTTGAAATATTTTACTATTTTATTTTTGAGCACCTATTAGAAAGTTATTACTTATTAGCTTACATTACCTAAATCATTTATATATTTTTTATAATATACAGTGCGTAACAGAAAGATATGACAGAATGCCATATCTTTTATATGTTTTTATATGCTTCATTTGTCATATATTTTTGTTATACCTATTTTGGTATTTTAAGAACATTTAAGAGGACGCCACACCGGCATGTGTTGTCTCTGWCTCATACAAACGTATAACTTAGCAAAATCTGTTTAGCACGGGACAACTGTTCTCCCTCAATATTTATAATAGAATTTTCAAAATTTCACAACGCATAGATAAGAACTTTATTTGTGTTATAGCGTCGTTATTTTTTTGATAACATAAATATTATTAAAGTTATAAGCTTAAGAAAATACATTTATTTTTTATTTTTTCATTAAAATACTTAAAATTATTGGTTTATGCTATTAAAAAAATAACGACGCTATGACACAGATAAAGTTCTTACCTATGCGTTGTGAAATTTTGAAAATTCTATTATAAATATTGAGGGAGAACAGTTGTCCCGCGCTAAACAGATTTTGCTAAGTTATACGTTTGTAAGACAGAGACAACACATGCCGGCGTGGCGTCCTCTGAATATTAAAAATATATTTTTATTTAATTGTAAATTTGTAAGTATTGTAAAATTATTTCTAGGTTGATTACAACATCTTATTATAGGCGAAAACCAATTAAACCAACGGCCATCGACTGCGGCTAAAGATAATATGTTCAACCATGCTAATGAATAAAAATAATGATTAGTAGATAAGATTAAGAAAGTAAATACTGCTATAGTATTATATTATTGTTTATAATATTAAATATTATATATAACCTAACCTAACCTAACCTACGTATTATTTAAATTATTGTAAACCTAGATACTAATCAACGAATATAAATATTATGTATATATTAATATTGATAAATACGTAGAAAAATATTTTATTCTATTTTACACACTAGAAAATAAAATTAGATTACTATACATTTCCTAACGTACTAATATAGGACTTATATAATTATAAGTAGGTATAATCAATTTAGATAATATTTTATTAGTCAATTTAAGTTTATCATCTTATAATATATTTTAGATTATCTACAAGACCTT